CAAATCTGATATGAAACTATTTAAAAAAGCCTTCCTAAGTCATACATAGAGTGAAAAGGAGAAAGAATCTCTCCCTGACACACTGAATTAACCCTGAGACAAGATATATTGCCAAGCAAAGGTGTAGATATACTGATTTGATTTAAACAAGACGCAGTCAAGAACATCTATGCGGAGCATGTAAAGAAGCAGGATATAAAAATTAGCATGCTATCACCTCTCGATTATTCTTGTTCAATTCCACTTGATAAGGAGGCGTTGGAAAAATTGGGTGTGCTGCCGCATCGTTTGGCGACGAGACAACGATGAACTTCGTGCAGAAGCTAAACAATCTTTCGGTTCATGATATGCAGGTTGGCAACTGTTGCTGCAAAATGCGGGTTTACCCTTTGAATCCACGAGCGACCTTCACCAACAGTTCTTTCAGACAGTCGCAGAACGTTTTTTGTATCAAACACTTCTACATAAACATAAAATTAAAGCCAAAAAGACTGACGAACAATACTATCTTACTGCAACAAGGTTGTGGTTCACTGGCAAGAATGGACCGCACTAAAACAAGGAGCATATTAAAAACGCAAAAAAAAATCATGTGTACTTTATGGCCAGATCAAACACCACGTATCAGTTTATAGTATCAGATTACCATATACTAGCATACAATACCGTAATTCTATGTAATAACAGTAACAGAGTATTGTTAAATTTAATTTAAATAAACATTAATATACACTAACATTATATGAATATACAGCAGCGTATACTATCATACTAGTTCTACATACTATGTACACTTACATACACTACTACTTATGATACAAAACGTATAATGCTACACTATTAACACTACAATGACTGTAATATTACTACCATAATACAAAGCAGCCAATACTACCACAGTGTCATACGCTAACTTAGGATGATGCGGTCACAAACAGTATTATCATGTGTGGTAATATGATAACAGATATTACAATACTTTAATACTATACACTACATCACCATATAATAGAAACTAATGCATCAGTATTATGCCATCACACGTCAATATATCGGCACTTATGCTACTACCACATTGCTACGTATACACTGTACTAGTATATTTCCACCTGCAGCTAGCAGGAGCAAGTATAATATGAGAGTACCATATAATACTAAATCTATTCATACACTGATGTTTCCTGTGATATCCACCTTTGGCCATTTGCTTAGCAGAAAATGGCGAGTTTCGAATATTCGCTGTATTCACAGCGTTTCAGCATTTCTGCCATAAAGCATCGGTTATGGCATCATGAAAAGTACAGTTCCTTTTCGAATGCAGATTTGACCTTGTATGCTCATCAATGGTGCACGCTCGGCTAGTGGTCCATGTCTGCCATGTCTCGAATCCTACATGAAATTCCGACGATTAACGAATCTGTACTTAATCAGATTGTCTAACAGGGTCAACCTTCTCTTTCTAGGCTTAAAAAATAATGGAGTTGCTGCCTGACTGGTCCAACCATTTATTTCCCATCATACATCGAAACAAGCTAAACGGCAATATTGATACACACTATCACAAATCAACATTGAAAGATGATATCTCGTGGAATATTATGAACGAGCGAAAAACGCACAAAAGATTTACTCACATTAATTTTATGTACATTTTATTGATAACTATGAAGCCATACCGAACTTGGTTGGAAATGACAGTATGTGAAAGTAAAATGCGCGCACATAAATCTGTTATGCAATGTTCCATTATTCGTGATACTCCAAAACATAATCAATAGCATATTACCTAATAGTAGTGTATGATAATTATTATCATAGTATAATATAGCAGTACAGTAACAATATACACTCCAACATCCCATTATTTGTTTACTACAACATCCCATTATAAAGTACAGCATTATACACAACCACCTTGAAACATACATACA